GGAGTTTTGTTATTTTCTTTCATTTGGGACATGTTTCTTTGTTGCCTTATTTTGGCTGCTTCCCTGTGATTGTTTCTATGTATTAGGCAGAGCTGCCCCTCTGGCCCTCATCCAGAGGCCAAATAGCTCAGTTCTTCCCTGTTCTCTGGTGCCCCTAAAGCTGCCTCCCCTCGGAGCTCAAAGGGAGCGGGTCTGAGTAAGTCTGTGCGAGGGCCCTTTAGGAGGAACTGCTGGGGCTTCCGCAGCTGCAGCCTCCCTCAGCCTCAGTTCCCGCTGGTTTTACAGCCAGAAGTTATAGGGACTTTTCTCCCTGGCACTGGGACCCTCAGCTGGGTGCCTGGTGTGGGACGGGGACCCCTCACTCCTCAGGGAGGACCTTCCCAGCTGAGGTGACCTCCTGATTTTTATCCGCCACACGTGGGTGTGGGACCAGCTCGTCTGCACCTTGGCGCCTCCTACCAGTCTCGATGTGGCGGCTTCTTTAATTTCATAGTTGTAGGACTTCCATTCAGCTTGATTTCAGGCAGTTCTGAATGATGGTTGTGTTGTAGTTTTGTTGTAATTTTGATGTGGTTGTAGGAGGATGCAAAACTGCATTTACCTATGCCACAATCTTCAGAACTCCTTCTCAATTAATACTTGACAAAGGTGGCAAGAGCATACAGTGGAGTAAAGACAGACTCTTCAATAAATGGTGTTGGGAAAATTGGACAGCTACATGCAAAAAAAAAAAAAAAAATTGAAACTAGAACACCAACTTACATCATACACAAGAATAAACTCAAAATGGATAAAAGACTTAAATGTGACTCATGAATCCATAAAAATCCTAAAAAAAAAAAAAAAATGTAGGCAACAAAATTTCAGACATGATACGCAGCAGAATTTTCACTGATACATCACCTAAGGCAATGAAAACAAAAGCAAAAATGAACACATGGGACTACATCAAACTAAAAACCTGCTGCACAGCAAAAGAAACAACCATCAAAATGGAAAGGGAACACACTATATGGGAGAGCCAACGATATGTCAGATAAGGAGCTAATTTCCAAAATATGTAGAGTATTCATACAACTCAATAAAAGGAAGACAAAGAATTTAATTAAAAAATGGGCAGAGGACCTATATAGACACCTCTCCAAACAGGACATACAAATGGCCAGGGAACATATGAAAAAATGCTCAACGTCACTAATCATCAGAGAGATGCAGATTAAAACAACTATGAGGTATCACTTCATACCTACTAGAATGGCTGCCATCAACAAATTATCAAAAAACAAGTGCTGGTGAGGGTGTGGAGAAAAGGGGACTCTAGTACACTGCTAGTGGGAATGCAGACTGCTGCAGCCACTATGGAAAACAATATGATGCTACCTCAAAAAATTAAAAATTGAATTGCCATTTGACCCAGTGATCCCACTTCTAGGAATATACTCTAAGAAGTCTGAAACACCAATCAGAAAGAATATATGTACCCCCATGTTCATAGCAGCACTATTTACAATTGCTAAGACATGGAAACAACCCAAGTGTCCATCAATAGATGAGTGGTTAAAAAAGCTGTGGTACATATACACAATAGAATACTATGCAGCTATAAGAAAGAAAGATCTCTTATCCTTTGAGATGACATGGAGGGACCTGGAGAGTATTATCCTAAGCAAAACAAGCCAATCAAAGAAAGACAAATATCACATGATCTCACTTATTTCTAGAATATAATGAACTAAACAAATTGATGAACAAAATAGACCCAGAGTCATAGAAGTAGGGTACAGACTGACAATTCCTCAGAAGAGGGGTGGGGGGCTTAAACCACAGAACTTATATGCATGTATGCATAACCAATGGACATAAATAACAAAGCTGAGGACAGGGTGGGAGGGGATGGGGAGGAGGGTGTCAATGAGGGGGGAAAGGAGAAACATCTGTAACAAAAATAAATTAATAAAAAAATTAAAATAAAAAAATTTAAAAAACAACAGGAATCAAAACAGTGTGGTCCTGGCATTAGGACAGACATATAGACCAGTGGAATACATTGAGAGTCTAGAAATAAACCCTCACATTCACAGCTGTAATGGACTAAATTGTGTCCCCCTCAAATGCATATGTTGAGGTTCTAACCCATTGTACCACAGAGTATGCCCATATTTGAAGATAAAACCAAGAACTACTTAAGTAAAAGTAAGGACATTAGAGTGAGCCCTAATCCAATGTGACTGGAGTCCTTATAAAAAGAGGATATTAGGACTTAGAGATAGTGATACCAGGGATAGATGGGTACAGAGAAAATGCCAAGTTAGGACACTGTCAAAGATGGCCATCTGCAAACCACATTCTTTCCACAGGAGAAACCAAACCTGCTGATACTTTTTCTTGGACTTCTAGTCTCCATAATGTAAGAAAATACATTTATGTTGTTTTAAGCCACCTAGTCTGTGGTGTTTTGTTATGGCAGCTCTAGCAAACTAATATAATGGTTAAGTGATTTTTAACAAGAGCAGCCAACCACTGAACAGGAAAAGAATAGTCTTTTCAACAGCTGGTGCTGGGACAACTGGATATCCACACGCAATAGATTGAAGTTGAACCCCCTACCTCACACCACATACAAAAATTAACTCAAAATATGTCAAAAACATAAATATAAAAGCTAACACTATAAAATTCTTAGACAGAAACATAGATCTAAATCTTCATGAACTTGAATTAGATAACGGTTTCCTAAATATGGCACCCAAGGCACCACCTATAATAAAATAGATAAAAATTAAAACTGTGTCAAAAGGCACTATCAAGAAAGAGCATGGGAGAATATATTTACAAATCATATATCTGATAAAGACCTAGTATCCAGAATATATAAAGAACTCTTATAACCTCCAAAACACAACTAAATAAAATTAAAAAATGGGCAAAGCACTTAACCAGACATTTCTCCAAAGAAAAGTGGCCAATAAGCACGCAAAAAGTTATTCAATATTCTTAGTCATTAAGGAATCAAAACCACAAGGAGATACCACTTCACACTCAATTATTATGGTTATAATTGAAACATGGACAATTACAAGTGTTGGTAACAATGTGTAGAGATTAGAACCCTCATACTCTGCTGGTAGGAATATAAAATAGTACAGCTGCTGTGGAAAACAATCTGTTGGTTCCTCAAAAGTTATACATAGATTTACCACAATTCAGCAATTTACTTGTAGGGATTCCAAAGAATTGAAAACAAGAACTCAAACATTTTCACAGTAATGTTAATACCAGAACTATTCATGATAGCCAAAAAGTAAAAGCACACAAATGCCTATCGACAGAAGAATGTATAAACAAAAGGTGGTATATACATTACAACAGAATGTTTCTCAGCTATAAAAAGGAATAAAATACTAATATATGCTACCATATAGATGAATCTCAAAAACAGTATACAAAGTGAAAAAATTCAGTAACAAAAGATCACACATTGTATGATTCCATTTATATAAAATATCCAAAATAGGTAAATCCATAAAAAACAGAAAACTGATTTGTTGTTTCAAGAGACTGTGGGGAAAGGAAAATGGGGAATGACTGCTTAATGTGTATGACCTTTTCTTTGGGGTGATGGAATGTTCGGAACTCGATAAAAGTGGTAGTTGCATAATGTTGTTAATGTACTAGATGCCACTGAACTCCATACTTTAAAATGGTTAATTTTAAGTTAAATGAATCTCACCTAAAAAAAAAACAAATAACCCATTACCTCATTTAAAATGTATTCAATTATCAGATTTCTCTCTAGTCTTCCATAATATTAAAATAGCAACTAAGCATCAAATGTCTTTAAAAAACATTATGAGAGCTGTATTAGTCTGCTAGGACTGCCATCCAAAATAGCAAAGACTGGGTAGCTTAAAACAACAGGAATGTATTTTCTTTTTTAAAAAAAAATATATTTTTTTTATTGACTTTTGAAAGAGAGAGAGAGCGATAGCAACATCGATGTGACAGAGAAACATCAATTAGCTGCCTCCTGTATGACCCTTCTGGGGATGGAGCTGGGCCTCTCAGTCAGTGGAATGGTGCTTAATTCACCGAGCCACACCAACTAGGCCAGAAATGTATTTTCTTACAGTTCTGAAGACTAGAAGTCCAAGATCCAAGTGTCAGCAGGTTTGAGACTTCTCTCCTTGGCTTGTAGATGGCTGTTTTCTAGCTATGTCCTCACATGGCTTTTTCTCTGCGTGAGCACTTCCCTGGTCTCTTCTTCTTACAAGGTTACCAGTTAGAATAAATTAGGGTCCCACCCTTAGACCTCATTTAACATATGCCTATCGTTCTGGCCGGGAGGCACAGTTGGTTGGAGCGTCATCCTATACACCAAAAGGTTGCGTGTTGGATGGCCGGTTGGGGCACGTACAGAAGAATAACATTTAGCATGCCCATTCACTAGCACAGTGCCCAGCACTAATACACTGTGCGAGACAACTGTAATTAGACAACGCAGTGGCGGAGGGAGAATGGATTGGATTTGACGGCAATAACTACCTCTGTTCAGATACGCTGCCCTCCTGTGGTTGCGCGCGTGTTCAATGCCTGACATTTTCTTGTGTAGTAAGAAAAGTCGTGCCTGAACCATCGGATTTGCACCACTGCAAACCTCGCAAGAAAACGAGGAGGGTACTACTCTAAGACACTGATCCGTAAAGCTCTGAAGTTATCGCCTCTTCTCGAGAAAAGGGTGTCCACACTGCGCATTAGGCAGAATCCCTCTCCAGACTGTGCCCAGAGTCCTAGGCAGCCCTTTCCCAGCAGCCGTTGGAGCCCAGCGGCCTTCAAGCCCAGCAGCCCGCACTCGGGAAAGGAAGGAAGGAAGGACGAACCGTGCACTGAGGCCCACGCAAAGCCCGCAGGCATTGTCCTGCGTTCCCCCAAGGTCGCCTAGACAACCCAGCCTGGCCCCACCCACAGCATCTGGCAACAGACAAGCCAGGGATAGGCAGAAAATGGAAGAGCCTCCAGAAGAGGCTCCTGGGGAATCCTTAGAACCTGAAAACACAGCGAAGTCCCCAAATGACAACCACACAGATCAACAGGAAGACAACTGGCAGAACCTGGACAAAGAGGAGGCAGATAACCAGACTGATCACAGAAAAGCTAATGAAGCAGATCAAAAGGTATCTAGTCAGGCTGAACCCAGCATATTTGGCCAACCAGACCACAAAGTATTCGAATACAATGGGCACAGAACATTTGATCAGTCTGACCTTGGAATATCCAACTATGTTAATGTTGCTGACCACAGAGGAGCAGATCAGGTTGACCAAAGACTATCTGAACACATGGACAGCAACGCATCTCCCCAAGCTGATTCTGTAGAATATGAACAGACTGACAGTCAAATGCCTTTTCTGCATGAACAAAGAACCTCTGAACTCATTGGCCACAGATTGTCCAGCGAGGATGAAAGAGCTTCTAAACAGACTGACCATGGATTGTCTGTCTCATCTGAACAAACAACCTCTGAACACAGTGACCGCAGAACGTCTGACCAGGCTGACCGAAGAGCTTCTGAACAGACTGACCGCAGAACCTCTGGCCAGGCTGACCGAAGGGTTTCTGAGCAGACTGACCGCAGATTGTCTGGCCAGGCTGACCGAAGGGCTTCTGAGCAGACTGACCGCAGAACGTCTGGCCAGGCTGACCGAAGGGCTTCTGAGCAGACTGACCGCAGAATGTCTGGCCAGGCTGACCGAAGGGCTTCTGAGCAGACTGACCGCAGATTGTCTGGCCAGGCTGACCGAAGGACTTCTGAGCAGACTGACCGCAGAACCTCTGGCCAGGCTGACCGAAGGACTTCTGAGCAGACTGACCGCAGAACGTCTGGCCAGGCTGACCGAAGGGCTTCTGAGCAGACTGACCGCAGAATGTCTGGCCAGGCTGACCGAAGGACTTCTGAGCAGACTGACCGCAGAACCTCTGGCCAGGCTGACCGAAGGGTTTCTGAGCAGACTGACCGCAGATTGTCTGGCCAGGCTGACCGAAGGACTTCTGAGCAGACTGACCGCAGAACGTCTGGCCAGGCTGACCGAAGGACTTCTGAGCAGACTGACCGCAGATTGTCTGGCCAGGCTGACCGAAGGGCTTCTGAACAGACTGACCGCAGAATGTCTGGCCAAAATGATCCCAGAACTCTTGAACAGATTGATCACAGAAAGTTTGGTCTGGTTGAACAAAAAACTTATGAACAGGGTCAACATAGATTGTCTGACCAAATGGCCTACAATACATCTGTAATGACTCACCACAACGAACATAACCAAATTACTGAACTGGCTGAACACCAGGCTGCTCACCCTACAGTTGACAAGCCTGTCTACAGTGAATCTGACCAGCTTGATGAAGAAGATGATGACATAGATGACAACCAGTCTGACTATGGAGACAGTGATGAGTATGATGACAGAACATTTACCAGCAAGGAGGACAAAGGGGACAGAGTACAATCCTTCATATTTGAGACTAACCAAACAGACTTCAATGATTCCAGGGTTTCATTTGTAACTGACTCTGAAAGTACCAACTCTCTACAAGCAATCAACTCATTGGAAGCCAAGTTCCTCAGTAATTTCCAAGCAAAAGACTTTTCCCAAAGATTCCCCATCTCAACCAAATTGGACTATATCACCTGTCAAGAAAAAAATCAAGTAGGTTAAAGGGGCATTTGATATCCAAATGGGAGGTTGACAGCCAAGTCAGGGGCCTACAGTGGTGGTATAGGGGTTGAGGGTGGGGGTGGGCATAGGTTGCATCAAGGATGAGAAGTAAACCCACATGTTGTGAAATGTGTGACCTATAAGACTCTAGAAGGACAGGAGAAGGATTGGATATATAGAGATATGTTGCTTTCTCTGCTACCCTAAGGCCATTCAGGAAGGATCAATGAATGAGCATTCAGGAGATGTGGGTTTCAAGTCCTGGTTCTGGGGCTAACTCTAAAACACTAAGTCATTTCCCCTCTCTGGGCTTCTACCAAAGAAAAGGAATTTAGAATAAACCAAAGGTGACTATGAAGGGAAAAGTATTTGAAGTAGATTGGAGAAGCCTAGGGCACCTCCCAGGAGAGGTACATTATATTGCCTGGGGGATCATCCAGGTCTTTTTTCCAACTCATGGTGTTCAGATCCCATCATCACCAGATTTCACTGATAACAGCAAAAATAAGAACAAAACTTCCTGGGGCTGTTTGATTTATTAAAGACGCTTGGGGGGGCGGTGATATTTCCATTTCAGGATATTTCAGAATACCAAGACAAGAAGAACAACCAAACTTATAAGAGGCAGTTCCCTTCTCTAGTGTATCAAGATCCTTATCAAGTTTCACTGCAATACATGGAGAAGCACAACGTTCTGCAAATATTCCAGGTATACCTCTCATTCCCTTTTTGTAATTGTGAGGTTTTTGGTAATTATAATGTAAAACCAAACTTTGACCTGGCTTTCCTGTGGTACAAGAAAGGGCCTTTGCTATACAAAGGATATAATCTCATTGAAAAGTTAGTAAGAGGTATTTGCCAAAAGTAGTAAATGATGAACACCAAATGAGTGATACTTACCATGATATGAAGCCATTCAGAGGGATCAGGTAGATTGATTGAGAGGGGAAAACTTGGCCAAGAGTTCAAGTTTGAGCCAGACTAGGAAGGAAGGACAAAATATTGGCCATTGAAAAGGAGAAAAAAAAAGGCTTTCCAGGCAGAATATAATATTTTCCAAAGATAACCAACTTGTGACCACATTCTTTAAGAGGGGGTGGGGGAAGTAGTTAAGAGTTGCTTTTAATTCTTAAAATTTTGAATCTTATTGACCTCAGGAGATGGGACTGGAAACGTCTTTAAAGTATAATATCCTTGGCCAATATAGAAATACAAGAGATGGTTACATTTATAAAATGTTTGTTGTTTGATGGGTTGTTCTGGTTTTTATTTGCCTGACATGTTTACTTTTTTTTTTTTTTTTTTTTATCCTCACCCGAGGATACTTTTCCATTTTTTGTACAGATAGAGTGGGAGGGAGAGAGAGGAAGGGAGAGAGTGAGAGAAACATCGACGTGAAGGGACACATCGAGTGGCTGCCACCCGCACGACCAACCAGGGCCAGGGACAAACTGCAACCAAAGTACGTGCCCTTAGCGGGAACCAAACCCGGGTCTCTCTGGACCGCAGGCCGATGCTCTAACCGCTGAGCCAAACTGGCCAGGGCCTGACATGTTTACTTTTATGTTAATATTATTAGTCAGCAAGATACATATTCTTATACAATACATGAGTACATAAAGTAACTTTGTGATGAGAAAGGTATAAAATACATGTTCAACAACAATAAAAGTATAGTAGTGAATCTCTGAAGTTTTATATATGCTCTCTCATTTATTATTAGAAACAATGAACATCATTTTCACCTCTTAGAATCAAATGCCTCAGAAGGAAGGCTCTCTGTAAAATCATATAATCTTTTAAACATTTTACTCAAAATACTTTTCTCTGACTATTCTTCAAAGCGAATAATGTTCATTCCTCAGTCTAGTAAAATCACAGTTCTCAAAACGAAAACTTCCTCTAAAACTTCTCACTACCTCTTTGATCTTGGAAACAATAGAAATATCCATTGCTACTTACTACCAAGTTTTTATTCCTACCAATTTAACTTTAATTTATCTAATTTTATCAGTAGTAAGAAAGTAATTTGTCACTTTGTACAGATATATGAATTTCTTTAAAATGGTGTGGTACGTGGTAGTGCAAAAGATTGCTTCAGATATAACCTGACCGCATAACTTTAGCTCAGAACCATAACGTGATGCCATATCCTCTCTCAGCAGATCACTGAAAACTTAGTTTATGAAAGGCCAGAGGACCCCCTGAATTTTATGCTATGCCAGGTATGGAATAGGAGAAAAAGAACAATCTTTTTATTATTTTTATTATAAATATAGCACACATATAAGTGTATAAAACTAAGCATGTACAACTCAGTGAATTCTCATAAAATGAGCAAACCTGTAATTATTTTAAAAGTTAAAACATTGCCAGCATCCCAGAAGCTACCTTCCTTTCCCTCAGTTATTACTCCCCACAAGGGACTATTCTTCTGACTCTTTTGATATTGACTTCCTCACTTCTCTTTATAATTTTACCACTAAATGTGAATCGTGAAAAACTTTTGTTTAGCTCTTTTTCAACTTTATATAATGGGACTATATAGTAGATATTAATTTGTATATCTAGCTTCCTTTGCTCAACATGTCTGTGAGCTTATGCATGCTATTGTGAGTAGCCGTAGCTAATTTTCATTGCTGTATAGTATTCCTTGTATGAAATGCCACAATGTATCCATTCTATGATGGATGTGAACCATCCAGGTTATTTCCAGCTTGGAACTATTGCAAAAATATTTTTTTATGAACTTTTGTTTACATGTCTCTTAGTACACATATATACACATTTCTCGAGTACATACCCTGAGAGTGATTGCTAGATCATAAGGTGTGTGTTTGCTCTAGTATATTATTTCAAACAATTTTCCAAAGTGTTTATACCAATATGTACTCCTAATAGAAGTGTATATTAGAGTTCCAGTTGTTTTACATCCTTACCTAGACTGTATTCAATGCTTGGTATTATGAATTTTTTTAGTATTAACCATTTTGAATGGGTGGTTAGTAATAAATCATTGCAGTTTTTATTTGTTTTGTTTTGTTTCCTGATTACTAAAGTAGTTGCATATCTTTTTATTTGTTTATTAGCCATTTGGAAGTACTTATTTTTCTATTGTTTATTCTTTGTTTGTTTGTTTTTTTCTTTTTGCTCAATTTGTAACAGTTTCTATATATTCTGATTGTGAGCTCTTTGTTGATTGTGTTTGTCACAGGTCTTACCCCACTCTTTGCCTTCCCTTTTTATCTCTTAGAGGTATTTTTTGATAAATGGAAATTCTTAATTTTGATATAGTCAAATTTAACAATATTTTTATTCAGGATTAGTATTTCTGGTGTCTTGTTTTAGAAGTCTCTCCTTTGCTAAAGCTCCTAACCATAGTCCCCTGTATTATCTTGTAGAAATTTGTTTATGGGGTTTTACTGGGGAGGTGTTAAATTTTGTTGCCTTTAACATTTCTATCCAATCAATCTGGAATTGATTTTGTATAGTATGTGAAGTGGTGCCATTTCATTTTTTTTCAAGTAGATATCCAATTAACCAAGTACCCTTTATTAAAAAAAAAAAAAAAAGACCATACGTTTCACACTGCTCTTTATTTGATTTGATTTATGCTATATTTGTCTATCCTTGCTTTAATATGAGAGTGTCTTAATCACTATGCCTTATAATAAGTTTTAATATCTATTAGAGTAAGTCCTCATATCTTATTCTTTAAAATACCTTGAATGTTCTTAGGCCTGTGCATTTCCACATCAGTATTTAGAATTATTTGTCACGTTACAGAAATGAAAGAACAAGACAAAACTCCAGGAAAAAAAAAAAAAAAAGAACGAAACAAAATGGAGACAAGCCATTCATCAGATAAAGAGTCTAAGTGAACTTGACAGAAGAAAAGATATCAGAGAGAACTTCAAAAATATATAAAACATTAAAAAGGTTATAGAAAACATTAAAAAGAACCTGTCAGAACTGAAGATACACTAGACTAGGGGTGGGGAACCTTTTTCCTGCCAAGGGCCATTTGGTTATTTACAACATCATTCATTCACAGGCCATACAAAATTAACAACTTAAAAATTAGCCTGCTATATTTGGTCAAATATTTAATTAACTCACCTCTAGTGTGATGGCTAGAACGGCTTCTCTTTGGGGAGGCATGTGATGTTAGCTGGTATGGATGATGTTGCTACTCACTACTGCTTTTCCAGGTTTGTGGCAGTCTGGAGTGTAGTTGATTCTTTGTGATAGTAAGTTTAGAAAAGAGCTGCTCACAGCAGTAAGTTGTTCTGAACACAGGTGCATATTTCAATACACATTTCCTCAAAGTGGGAAATTCATCATTGCTCATTAATGTTTATAGAACTCAAGCAGTGGGAGGTGGGGTACCTAGCTTTCAGCTCATCATCACTTTGCAGCTGAATGATTTTGTGTTGTATGTTATCGGGCACATCAGATGGTTCCACGTTGAATGGTGTAGCAGAGATGTTCAATTCCATTTGTTTACTTTTCATGTCCTTGAATCTTTTGTCAAAGGCCTCAATTAGTTTTGCACATTCACCAGCATATCCAAGTGTCATAGATGGCTTTTGTCCTTCCAGAGTGGGAAAATGCACCATGTTATTTCTTTTGAGTTGCACTTTCCACATCCTTCATTTAGCTTCAAATGATTCACATTTGAAAGCAGGGAACCGAGAAGCCTGTTGGGGCCCTGCAGCTTGACGTTCATCTCTGAGAGGTACTTGCTAATGTCCACCATGACCATTAAGTCATACAACCACTTGCCATCATTGAGTTCCCTGACCAATTTTCCCTTTCTATGCATGAAATGCTTGAATTCATCCCGCAGTTTGTAAAACCTCATGAATGTGTTCCCACATCTCAGCCACCATACTTCACAGTGATAAGATCACCATACTCAGCCAAGATCAGTCAGGAACTCCTTAAACTGGTGCCTGTTAAACCCTCTGCTTTTGACAAAATGTATGCATGACACTACTGTTGACATCACGTTGTTGAACCACGACAACTGGGCACAGAGGCTTTCTTGGTGTATGAAGCAGTGGCACATAATTAAATCACTTGGATCAAGACTGCAATGATTCAGTTCTTTCTTAACAGATGCAATTAACCCTTGTGCAAGCCAGCCATGGCTGGAGCGCCATCTGTCTTAACTTTTCAAATGTTAACTCAAGTTTTTTCATTGATAAAACAGGTCTCTCAGACAAGTCCTCACCTCTCGCAGTGCCATGCATGGCTTCCAGTGATAGCAGTTCCTCTCATGTGTCACACTGCAGTTATCCCACAAACAGAAATGGCCAGTTGGGCAGTATTTGTTGTGTCCATTGTCTCATCACAGCCAGAGAGAAAAATTGGAAATCTCCTGCAGAATCCTTCAGTGTTTTTTCAATATCTGTGCTAAATCAGTAATCCGATCTGAGGCAGTTCTCCGAGACAAACCAACACTGAAACAATTTCACTTTGTCTGGTGCTAACATCTCCCCAGCAGCCACCATGCACTCTCACAAACTCCTTCTACGTGAGGCATCGGCTTTTTTGGGATTAGCTCACTCACTACATAATTCATCTGAATAATGTTGTCTCTGTCACAAGGCCGAGTGAAAGCGGCTTGTTGTGTTTCCAAACTCCGCTGAAGAGCATTGATTTTATCCAGACACACTTGGCCTCCCAGTTCATTGTTTAGCATGTTTTCAGCTGTAATGATGCTCCAGATTGGCTAACGCATCGCCAAACACTAGGCACACAGGTTTGCCTTTGACGTCGACAAAAAATAATCATTTGTCCATTTCTCTTGGAAAGAATGACACCCTGCATTGACTTTTTTTTTTGTAGTCGCCATTTGTAGGATGTCACACCACTTAAATTTTTAATAACTATCCAATGTGTGTATTGTCAACAACGCAATTATTTTGCTTTGATCCTGCATCTTGGATTTGGAACATATACAACATTCATATCATTGACCTTTGAGGTCTTTTTTTTTTTAATCCTCACCTGGGTATATTTTTCCATCTATCTTCAGATAGAGAAGGAGGGAGAGGGGGAGAGAGAGAGAGAGAGAGAGAGAGAGAGAGAGAGAGAGAGAGAGGAGAGAGAGAAACATCCACGTGAGAGAGACACATTGATTAGTTGCCTCCTCCACAACCCCAACCAGGGCCAGGGACCAAACTGCAATTGAAGTACGTGCCCTTGATCAGAATCGAACCCGTGACTCTCTGATCTGCGGGCCAACTCTCTAACCACTGAGCCAAACTGGCCAGGGCAAGGTCTTTTCTGTGTAGTCTGATTTCCTAAATCTTCATCTGAGATTCAGTTTTTGTGAGGATTGTTGATCATAAACCTGTGAATAAAAATTGGATTGGAGTTATCATCTGTGTGGACAAAGAAGTCAACAACATCATTGTCAGTCATCAGAGGCAAGGTCATCGATGTCCCAAGGAATCATCTCATCACACCTTGTCTCATCATCACTAGATCACCGTAGTTTTGCCACAGTGTGTTAGCACTTTCACAATGTGTACAATTCTGGCCTGCCTGTCTGACTGTCCTCTGACTCACCACTATACAGGCAGATGTGCTGCAGGCAGCCGACGAGAAGCATAGTGTCTGTCCCGTCATGTACTTGTATATGTCCTGTCTATCTAATAATGGACATTCCATGCTTGTCCCTCAAAATTTATGTGATTATTATGATTCACTTAATATAAATTTATGTTGCTATGAATAAAGGACCAAATGATTTCCTGGGCCGTATATGGCCTACAGGCTGGACAGTGCCCTCCCCTGCACTAGAGGGAGCCAACAATAGATTACATGAAGCAAATAATTGAATCAATAACCTGGAAGACAAGGTAGTGGAAGACACCCAACTGGAACAGCAAAAGGAAACAATTTTTAAAAATGAGAATAGTATTTTTTTTTATCTTTATTGTTGAATGTATTACAAATGTTCCTCATTTTTTCCCCATTGACCCCCTCATCCCCACTTCTGCCCCCCTTCTGCCTTTTCCCACACTGTTGTCTGTGTCCATTGGTTATGCATATAAGTTCTTTGGTTTATTTCTTCCCACCCCCCACCCCCTTCTCTTTGAGGGTTGTCAGTCTAGCAACCACTTTGTTCTTTTTAAACCTCTCACCTTTTTCACCCATTCCCCCAACCCCCCTCCCATCTGGCAACCAACAAAATGTTCTCTGTATCTATGAGAATGTTTCTGCTCTGCCTGTTCATTTTGTTTGTAGATTCCATTGTCGATAGATATGTATTCATTGCCATTTTGTTTGTTCATATATTTTATCTTTTTCTTCAAAAAGACCCTTCATCATGTCATATAATAACGGTTTGGTGGTGATGAACTCCTTTAACTTTTTCTTATCTGGGAAACTCTTTATATGGCCATCAATTCTAAATGACAGCTTTGCAGGATAGAGTAATCTTGTTTGTAGGTTCTTGCTTTTCATCACTCTTGAGTATTTCTTGCCACTCCCTTCTGGCCTGCAAAGTTTCTTTTGAGAAATCAGCTGAAAGTCTTATGGGAACTCTCTTGTAGGTAACTAACTGCTTTTCTCTTGCTGCTTTTAAGATTCTCTCTTTGTCTTGAACCTTTTGCATTTTGATGATGATGTGTCTTGGTGTGGGCCTCTTGGGGTTCATCTTGTTTGAAACTCTCTGTGCTTCCTGGACTTGTATGTCTGTTTCCTTTACCAAGTTAGGAAAGTTTTCTGCCATTATTGTTTTCAATAGGTTTTTGATTTCTTGTTCTCTCTCTTCTCCTTCTGGCACCCCCAAGATGCAAATGTTGGCACGCTTGAAGTAGTCCCAGAGGCTCCTTACACTATCCTCATTTTTTTGGATTCTTTTATCTTTTTGCTGTTCTGATTGGGTGTTTTTTGCTTTCTTATATTCCAAATTAATAGTTTGCTTCTTGGCTTTACCTACTCTACTATTGAATCTGTGTAAATTATTCTTTATTTCAGTTAGTGCCTCTTTCATTTCTGACTGTGCATCCTTCATTTCTGACTGGTCCTATTTTATGCTCTTGAAGCCCTCACTAAGTTCACTGAGGTTCTCATTAAGTTCATTGAGCATCCTTAAAAGCAGTATTTTGAACTCAGCCATCTGTTAGGTTGCTTATCTCCATTTTGTTCAGTTATTTTTCTGGAGTTTTTTTTGTTCTTTCATTTGGGACCTGTTTCTTTGTCTCCTCATTTTGGCTGCCTCCCTGTGTTTGTTTC